CCTGCCCATAAAATATTCACTTTTGGACTACAAAGGTGGGATCATTTTTAATGATGAGATTCAGAACTGGAATAAAAAGGGAAAGAGATTAGTATCCATGAATTCAAATAATTTCATTTTAAACACTCAACTTAGAACATTATATCTCACTGGTTTACACAGCAGTGAAGATAAAATAGAATCATCTATATATGAGATGTGGACAAACAGAATTGCCAAGCATATGAAGAATGGTAGTTTTAACTTTCAGAAAACTTTTCCTTCTTCAAGACCACTTATAAAATGGAAACAGAAGCATGTTTAGAAACTTGTAAATTATATGAATAGATAGTAACATATAAATCTATGTGGGATTTTTTTAATCCAGGAATCAATATGCTGCTACATCAAGATGTTAATTTCTGTCCCTTTTAAAGGTAAATGTTGATTGTGTTCTCACAAGAACTGGCAACTTGGAATAGCATTTTCCATGCTTCTTATAAAAGCATCCCAAGCCTGCAGTTCTTGAAGCTTTAAGGAGGTTTTTATTAAGGCAGCCAGCTGCCTCTTTGTGTGGATTGGCTGTTTAAAGCTACAGCTCTGAAGTGGGAGCCTCAGTTTTGACATTCTGTAGGCCCTTAGCAAAGAAGTTCCATTTAAATATAGGGGAGCTCTCCACCAAATCAGACAGCCTCTGGGGGCTCACAGGGAAGAAAACAGCATGGAAATGAATGGCCAGGACTAGGCAGAAGATGGAATAGGATGATAAGGAGAAGGAATTCAAGCCATCCTCCTTCAAGGTGGATACATTTAAAAGAAAACACCAATTTTACCCATTTAAACCAGGTGCCACCTCCTAACAAAATTTCCTTTGTTTCTCTGTTTCTATTATTATAGGAATACATAGATAATAAACTAAGATCTGTCAAATGACTACTATCTCACCTCTGTTCCAATAACCATGTTCTTTCAGCTCAATGTATGGTGGTTTTTCTGTTGACTCCTGGTATATAGAAATAAATAAATGACATTTACACATGGTGTGAGTGTGTTTGCTAGATGAATGAGTTAATAAACTAGAGTTTGATTTGGAGTGCAGGGACTGGTCCTATTGGTGTTACTCAGGTGAAGACTTGGGAGGCCGTGGGTGAAGGTGTAGGGGCCTACTAAGACAGGGCTGCCTCACTCTTTCCAGGAGTGTTACAATGTGAGGATAAATAAGGGTCTTTCGAATTAAGCTCGGATTAGCTGAGCTGTTTCCTCTGCATGGGCACCAGGGCAGGAGGGAATTCTCACCACTTCTTCATAGGATCAGGATACTGATTGAGTAAAGAGAGAGCCCTTCCTCCGGACCTAAGGGAAGGGAATGAACTGGTACCCTTGCCAGCAATTCCCCTCTGGTGCCTTGCGTTTATTCTTGAGGAAGGGGCCTAGGGGACTCCCCGCCCCAACTCCCCACCCCCGCTGTCCACCCCGAGGCAGCGAGGCCTGCACCAGCCGAAACGTCTATTCTTCCATTGTCCTAGAAAGTGATCTCCGGGAGCTGTGCTGGAGTGAGGGAGACATCGAGACACCTTGTCAGTTCAAAGCATTTTAGGGTTGTTTGAAATCCTCTCCACGTCAACGTAAGCAGCCTCTGTATTTGAACAGCTGCTTTGAACTGTGAAAGGGAATGAGCTGAATCAAAACCTGGAGGTGTCTCCCAGAGACATCTTCAACGTGCTTTTCTGCAAGTGGAAAAGGACTCTGCCCTAGCGGGGTCAAAAGCACAGAAAGGCACAAGCGACAGAGGGGGTGGGGTGGGGTGGGATGGGGGGAGAAGAACAGAGAAGCCCCCATCTGGAGCTAAAACCCAGGTTTCCGAAGCCCCAGGGAGACGCTGCGCGGACTAGCAGACAGGAAGCCGAGGCTATTCTGAACTCGGCGTTCGCGCCACCCGGGCCTCGGGCAAAGGGCTGGGAGGCAAGGGTGGTTGATGGCGTGGGGGGGAGGGCGGGGGGGGCGGCGGGGGTGGGGGGGGCGGGGAGGCGGTTGTACGCAGAGCCACTGTGCGCGCCCAGCCTTGCCCTCCCGGTGATTGGCCCGGCTCTGGGGGTGTGGGGTGGGATGAGGAGGCTGAGGCCCAGGGGTAGAGCATTGCTTTGTGTACTCCCAAGGATTTATTGGGTGTGTTAATCCCCTAGAACTACCAGAGCTTACCCGGTTGGGAACGTTTCGACTCCGTCGTCTACAAGTAAAAAGAGGCGGGGGTGGGGGTGGAGTGGAGACCCGAGACGTCAACGTAGATCTCGCAGCAGTAATCGCCACTGAAGTCCCATTGCAGACAGGAAGTTTTAATGTACTCGTGCAGCTTATTTTTGCCCACCCCCACCTACATATAACAGCGCCCTAAACTAGGAGTTGGGGGCGGGGAAAGGAAGAAAGAGAGAAGGGTGGGGGGAGACTTTTAAACTGACTCCAAGCCCAGCTGCTTCGCTTCCCTCAGAGATGCGTCTGGAAACCTTTTTCTTTGCTGGAGTGTATCACCTCATGGGCTGCAAAGGGACTTGTCCCTAGAGAAATGTGAAATCAAATCCAGAGAAATGCAGACACCTGCCCCGAAGCGTTGGGGGTGGGGAGCTGCTGAGTATCCCAACACGATCCTTCCCGACGGCTGGATTCACCCATCTGTGGGGGCTTAAAGTCTCCAGGGTCAGGAGGGAAGAGGAGAAGCTGTAGGGGTAGGGGGCGAGAGGGGCGCGGTGGACTACAAAAGGCCTGTGTGCTCCCAAAGTCCCAGGGGAGCCGCGACCGGCGTTTGGGACTCAAGGCCGCTGCCAGGAGGAGGAGGTCCTGCCCGCCGCCCAGACTCTTCGCTCCTAGTTGAGGAGCCGCCGGGGCCAGCCAAGAAGTCTGCGCTCTCCAAGGCTCGGACTTTCTCCTTCCCCCCCACCCCGGGCTGGGCAAAGTTACGGGATTCTTAGCAGCCTTCAGGCGCTCGGCCAGAGTGGCTCCGCGCTTGCGCTGGGATCATGCACAACACTGTGTGTCCTCTCCTCGCCGCGCGGGTGCGCGCGTGGGGGGATGTAGGTCCGTCCCGCTGGCAGCCTGTGGGCTCGACCCTCCCCTAACCATTTTGCTCTCTCCCACACACACGCTCATAAACACAGGGCACGTGGAAATTCTCAGCCAAAGCGCCTTGCCCTGGCGGGTGCTCAATGTAGTGATTTATAAACAGCTCAGCCACTCCCCAAAGAGCTTCGCTCCTCGTTAGTCATGATGAATTCTCTGGCCCGCTCTACTTTGGTGTCTAGATTAAGATACTCAGAAGCCCCAAAATGCTCCCCTTGAGCGTTGATTTGGCTTCCTTCACAAACCCACGACTGCCAGCAGCGCCAACGTTAGAGCTACAACGCGCGAGGCCAAGGGTGAACTTGGGGAACGCAGTCAAGTTCCTTGGAGTCTTTTTGCCCTTTCCGCAGCAACCTGTGATTCTCTTCGAAGTATATGCGCCGGTAAGCTTGGCCCGTGCTTCAGCCGGGTCCACTACCAGGCCTTTCCTAGCCAACTTGCAGGCTCCGAACTGCTGCAGGCATCTACCCCTGGGCGGCTAGGAAACTGACAGCGCGTCGCGCTCGCGCAGGGTGAAACGGCACCGACGGTGCACCGTCCTGCAGTCTCGCTGTGGAGTTCACGGCTGAAGACTAAGTAGGCAGCTACGCCAGAGAGCGCCTGAGAGCTGAGTTAGATCAACCCCACCAACCGGCGTCCGCAGAAGTTACTGATTAGGAAAGTTCCCCTAGAATCAGTCCATCTTCCATCACACACTCTTCCTTTCCATCGAAGCAGCTAACGGGAAAGTTGCATAGAAGAGCGCCAGGATCGCAAGGAAGCGCTCACACAGTCCTGGCAGCTCGGCTACTCGGGGCTGGCCTTAGTGCCTCCACTGCACCGGGAGGCTGAGCACTTCTTGCCAGTGCTCCTGTAGCCTCGCGTGAGGCAAAGGTCTGCGCGCAGTCTCCCAGTTTTCTAAACGAAAAACTGTGCGCGCGCCCTAGTGTGGGAATCTGACAGAGACTTTGAGAGTTTTGTTTTGCTTTCAGTCCGGCCCGTTGCGCTGTCAAAGCAGGCAACTCCGCGCCTTAACAGGAGTCTCTCATAAGCTGATGCACCGGCTGAGCCTGCCTCTCGTGGGGGCCTCTCGCGGAGGTGCTGGGAGACAATTGGGCCTGGCACCTAAAAGGAAGAGAGCCTGCGCTGGCTTCGAGGTGGAGGGGAAGAAGACCTTTCTTGGGGGCAAAAGTGTCCGCACACCCTGGAGCAAGAAGCACGTGTGCACTGATAATCTAGCCTTGAAGGGAAAGGAGTCTTCAACATTGGGACAAGTCTCCTTCTGGCTCTCGGTTTAAGAGGCGCTGATCTATATGTGTCCCAAGGTGAATAAAAATCGGACGCCTCCTAGGTGGGTGCTACTCAGCCTTTCTCTTCCTCTCTCCATCTTTACCATCCTCACCACCACCCCCCTCCCCACCCTCCCCAGCCCTATATGAGAAAGGAGGTAGAACGGCATCCCCCACCCACCCACCCAAGTCTTCCATGTGGCTGTGAACGGTAGTGCGCGGGGGGCCGGCCCGGGCCTCCAGACCCCCAGCCCCCTCCCAGCACGTAGGCTGGGGAGACAGATGGGGGGCGGGGCCCATCAGAGATGGTCTGAGGAGGCCGAGGGCGGGGGGTAGAAGGGGAGGTGAGATCTAAGAGAATCTGAATCGGGTGGCGAGGGGGCACTGGAGGAGGGCTAGGAGGACTGCGCGCCCGGGGGAAAGAGGAGGGGCAGCTCTGCGCCAATCGGTGGCGCCGGCCTGGGAGGTTGCTAGTGGTATCCACGTAAATCAAAGGGCGCGGAGCCAATGGGAGGGGGCGGAGGGGGCGGGGCCCAGGCGCGTGCCGCTGCAAGCCGGCTCTGCCAAGAGAGCGGGAGAGAGCTGGAGAGAACCGGGAGAGGGGGGAGCGCAGAGCTAGTCTGAGAGTGAGCGAAGCAAGAAGGAGGGAGAGGAGGAGAAAGAGAGCGAGGGCGGGTGAGAGGCGGCGGCGGCAGCAGCAGCAGTAATAGAAGGAGCAGCAACAGAAGGCGTCGGAGCGGGCGTCGGAGCTGCCCGCTGGGGGAAAGGTAGAGGAGACAGCGAGCGAGCGTGGAGAGGAGCCCGAGGCGAAAAAGTAACTGTCAAATGCGCGGCTCCTTTAACCAGAGCGCTCAGTCCGGCTCCGAGAGTCATGGCGACCGCAGCGTCTAACCATTACAGCCTGCTCACCTCCAGCGCTTCCATCGTGCACGCCGAGCCGCCGGGCGGCATGCAGCAGGGCGCGGGGGGCTACCGCGAGGCGCAGAGCCTGGTGCAGGGGGACTACGGCGCGCTGCAGAGCAATGGGCACCCGCTCAGCCACGCTCACCAGTGGATCACCGCTCTGTCCCACGGCGGCGGTGGCGGGGGCGGTGGCGGCGGGGGCGGGGGCGGTGGCGGGGGCGGCGGAGGCGGCGACGGCTCCCCGTGGTCCACAAGCCCCTTGGGCCAGCCGGACATCAAGCCCTCGGTTGTGGTCCAGCAGGGCGGCCGCGGGGACGAGCTGCACGGGCCAGGCGCCCTGCAGCAGCAGCAGCACCAGCAGCAACAGCAGCAGCAACAGCAGCAGCAACAACAACAACAGCAGCAACAACAGCAGCGGCCACCGCATCTGGTGCACCACGCCGCCAACCACCACCCGGGGCCCGGGGCATGGCGGAGTGCGGCGGCTGCGGCGCACCTCCCGCCCTCCATGGGTGCGTCCAACGGTGGCTTGCTCTACTCCCAGCCCAGCTTCACCGTGAACGGCATGCTGGGCGCCGGCGGGCAGCCGGCGGGGCTGCACCACCACGGCCTGCGGGACGCGCACGAGGAGCCGCACCACGCAGACCACCACCCGCACCCGCACTCACATCCGCACCAGCAGCCGCCACCGCCGCCGCCCCCGCAGGGCCCGCCGGGCCACCCTGGCGCGCACCACGACCCGCACTCGGACGAGGACACGCCGACCTCGGATGACCTGGAGCAGTTCGCCAAGCAGTTCAAGCAGCGGCGGATCAAATTGGGATTTACCCAAGCAGACGTGGGGCTGGCGCTGGGCACCCTGTATGGCAACGTGTTCTCGCAGACCACTATCTGCAGGTTCGAGGCCCTGCAGCTGAGCTTCAAGAACATGTGCAAGCTGAAGCCTTTGTTGAACAAGTGGTTGGAGGAGGCGGACTCGTCCTCGGGCAGCCCCACCAGCATAGACAAGATCGCAGCGCAGGGGCGCAAGCGGAAAAAGCGGACATCCATCGAGGTGAGCGTCAAGGGGGCTCTGGAGAGCCATTTCCTCAAATGCCCCAAGCCCTCGGCCCAGGAGATCACCTCCCTCGCGGACAGCTTACAGCTGGAGAAGGAGGTGGTGAGAGTTTGGTTTTGTAACAGGAGACAGAAAGAGAAAAGGATGACCCCTCCCGGAGGGACTCTGCCAGGCGCCGAGGATGTGTACGGGGGGAGTAGGGACACACCACCACACCACGGGGTGCAGACGCCCGTCCAGTGAACTCGAGCGGGGGGAGGGGCAGAGCGTGAGGCTCCCCCTCCCCTTCGGTCCTCCGCCCTTTCCCGGCCCCCTTGTTCCCTCTCTAACTTCTGATTGTTCTTTTATTTTTAATTATTATTTCCCCGTCCCTTAAAAAGAAAAAAATAAGGAAAGCAACTAAGGCACTGGACTATCCTTTAAACGGTAGCAGGTGTAATGATGTGTTTTGACCTTTACAGGCTAGTACCCAGGCAATGGAGTGGAGTGTCTCATAGAGTGAGGAGAGAATGCAAGAGAGAGTGTGTGCGTGTGTGAGAGAGAGAAAGAGAGAGAGAGGGAGAACTGCGATAAATACTTGGCAAAACTAAATAAATTACCAAAAAAAAATCCACCAAGCCGTGATAAACACAAAACACAGCTTCCTAATGCTCAGAGTTGGCACATGCTGCTGTGTTTACTTAATGGGATCCCCATCAGGAAAGAGGAAAAAATACACACATTCTTTGATGTAGGCAAAATCTAACCACAGAAATTTGCACTGCAAGAAAATTGAAGTTTACATGAACAAATTCATGAACACATTTTTTCCCTCCCGCCGTTAATTTTGAAATTGCCGGGATATGTGTTCTGTTTTGTTTCATTCAGAGGAGAGGGTTGAAGCCAGCTCTTGGCCACTTTCCATTTCTAACGTTCTTGTGTGGCCACTTGTTCTTCTCACTGTGTGTGAACTCCCGTTATCTCCAGACCCCCTATCCTCCCTCACATTGGTGCAACTTTTATCTGCTCCTTTTACCAAAGCAAAACGATTGGCTTCATACAAAATAATTAATTCTCTGCTTTCAGGAAATGTGCATGGTCACCCTCTGTAACCAAGGTGAGAATCCAGTTTGGAATATAAAAATGAGAGTCAAGCACTGGTTTTTGTTACCAGGAACAAAGTAAACTTCATTTTCAGGCAGTGTTTCTGGGGGAGCTTGCAGAGGGGAGAAAAAGAAAAAAAATTGATAATGAGTAACCGATTGCTTCATTTTATCAAGCGGGCCCATTGTGAAAGAGCTCAGAGACTATGTGGAGGTTAAATATATTTTCAGAGTTGTCCAACAGAAAGAAAGTGGCATTTTGAAGAAACCTAGGGAAATATATGTCTTCAGACACCCCCTGTATAGTTCTCTGCCTTCAATTTTTAATAACTTCACTTAGGAGGAATTATTTGTGCTGACAGCAGCAGTTAAACTTTGTTCCTGTAATAGCTTCTTTAAGAAAAAAAAATATAAAGAAAATGATCTGGGAACTTAATGGTGTATGCCTAGACTGTGTTTCTTAGCACACAAATACCCACATACATACAGAGAATATTTCCACTCTAGACTGGTTTTGTTTTCACTAGCTTATTTGTTTATCAAATTATATTTAAGGTCCCACACCCTCTTCTCCAATCATTTATTACAGAAAATACCAGTTTGACCTGGACAGCTCTCCCCGCTTTCATTAAGGAAGCCAAATGAAATGGGGAAATACGCTATTTTCAATCCTTCCTGTTCTCCCTTTGTTAATAGTTTTAAGTGCGTTTTTTGACCTTATCTTGATGGAAAATGGTTAATTCCCATAACAAAAGAATCTACTGGGAAATGTAGGTGAAAATACCTGTAACTGTATTGAAAATAAATGCCATTAAACTGTGATCAGTTAAAATACTTAAAAATAATCAGCACAAAAGGGCGCTAAAAGGGAAAACACTTTTTATTAATCTTAAAAGATCGGGGCTTTTTCTGGTTAGATATTAGGTAAATTTTTATTTAAAAAAATTAAATCTCAACACCATACAGTTATGGTTCAGCATCAGATTAGCATTGCACTCAGTAGTTAAGGTTTTAGGAACTATGGTTTATATTGTCTTTTCAAACACCAGTGATTGTTTCATTTTCAATGTTTTTGCAAGATAAATGATGACTTCTAATGGGCATATTTATTTGCCTGTATTTCATTTCCCCCAATGAATGTCATAAGGAGATGGGCACGGAGCTGCTTGGGGTGCATCACACTGCTTGTTCCTGAGGTGTGGGGACAGGCCTTTAGTGAAGCAATCCAGAGCAGGGCAAATAGCCAAGGGTAAGGGGAGGAAATGAATTTTCAGATTATTACCAAGTGGGTAAGGTTAGAAGCTGGAGTTCAGGGGATGTGTCCATAGCTCCTCTAACTCTCAGAGGTTTATTAAAATGAAAGTTACCACTGAACCTTACCACTATGTATATATGTTTAATATCTGTCTTTTGAAATGCAGAAATAGTTTAAATGTTTCTTTGTTTATTTTTCTTTTTTTTAATGCTACCCAGGGAAATATTTTCATATCATTTTTAAGTGGCCTGCCTCAATGTATATTTATTTCTTTTAAAGCAAAAAGGTTCTGGAAATTGTTTTTCTGTAGCTTTAAATGAGTAGGTGAGCAAAATCTATATGGGATGTAATTTTTTTGTTCAGTCTCTTTAAAAATACTTTGTTTTGGTACATTTGGTTGTGCTTGTGGGGAAAATAAAAACACAGAGATCCTTATATATTTATGTTAAAGTAATATTTTATTATCTACATAAAACAGAAATGCACAATACCTTCATAGTTTGTTCTAATTATTGAAATATCTTTATTTTATTTTAAAGTAGTGCCAAGTTTTGAGAGGGGAAAACCCTAGACCTTACACTGACTGAGTTGAGTTGTATGTAAAGTACTTCCCTTCCTTTATACTTCATGAAGTTTTGGAATAAATTTTATGCATATACTGCTAGGTTTCACACTGATAACTTTCAGAGGCTTTTTTAAAGAAGTGAGACTACTGTTCTGATTCACTTTTATTTGGAAAAAAAAATCAATCCCAAACCATTCAGCTAGTATGCCTAAAGAATTAAATTGAAATGGTCATTGGGTTTGAGCTTCAATTTGTTTGCCATTTCATGGTCTGACAAAGAGATGTTTGTGCCTCTAAACACATGCAGATATCGCTGCATCTTCTTTCCAGGTTAGCTGTACCTTACCCGATTTCACTTTTTTGGAGAATGTCAATGGAACTAGATGGACTTTAATCTTTACCCACATCTCCTCACATAATTTGGGGTCTACAGAAAAGCAAGACTTAGTTAAGGAAATTAATCTTTTTAGTGATTTACAAATATCTTTCAACAAAGAAAAGCTCTGACAATATGCAATGTGTGTGTTTATCAAGTGGTTGAGGTAGGTCCTATATGTTATTCCTGTTAGGTTTACAGGAAAAGGTGGATTTTGCAATGGATTATACAATACTGTCTGTTTCTCATCAGGCAAGCAAACAGCCTCTAAAGCAAGAAAAGAAATGTACTAAGAACTCAAGACTGTGGTGCGAATAACAGATTGTTTCTGATAGAGATGAGCATTATCAAAATCAGTTTTAAGGTCAGTGAGAAATCCAAACAGTGTTGGGTTAGTTTACAAGTTTGCTGATGTACTTAAAGTCCTCCTTGGAACATTGATTTTAGTATAAATGTTTATTTTGAAAGGTAGTTTTTGGGCTTATTACACCTGATCATCTTTTCTAACTCCTAGTCAATATTACACAGGTCCCAAACAGATTCAGCCAAATGATCTTATCAATAGCCTGAACTTGAAGTGACAGAAAGAAGAAGTGTTTTGTGACCGCAGACATGCTGATAGGTAAAATGTTTAAGCTGGGTATAGATTTGAGTTCTGGGTCAATAACCTCCTCCATTGTAGGCAGAAAACAAGCAGCATCTGCCCTCTGCAGGGCATTTTAGTGGACCTTGAGAAGGCGTTTTTGTTCTTAGCCACAGGGGCTACTGACTGGAAACCATCACGTGTTAAATGGACGCACCATGGTTTTGACCCATGCTTGCTGTTCAGTTCTAATGCTACTCAGGCAGTTTCCGTGCCATTTGGGGGGATGTATTACATGCCAAGGTGAAAAACTCCATCGCTGCCACTGGAAGAAATTTGTGGGAAGTCATCCCTAAAATGTGGGCTAGACACAATGACATACTCTTTCTTTTCCCTAAAGACAATAATGCAGAAGACAGCCATCCTGAAAGAGCTTCTGTGTTTCCTCAAAATATGTCACTTTTAAAATTTATGGTTTGAGATGAGGGAGAAAAGATCGTGTGGGAGAGTTATGCGAAGGTCAGATGAAGGGAATGGCCACAAATAATATTATGCTTGGCACCTCTAAACACCCTCTGTTCCCACGAAGTTACCCCCTTTACATTTCAGATGCAGCAACAAAAGCACTCCTCTCCTTGCCCTCCTGCTCCTGCCAGTGGGAGCCACACACTGGCTGGCAAATGTTTTCTGGTAAAATGGCTTTAATAAAGACACTCATCTTTCTACTTTTTTTCTCCAAAGGCAACTAATAAAGTGATGCATCAATGACAATGGGGGGAATGGCATATGAGTGCACTGGTTACCTGCACAAGTAGGTCTATATGTTGCATTAATTTGCCTTTCATTTGCCTTACTTTGGAAGCAGCTCAGGAGTGCTGGGCTGCTGGGTGAGAGAAATTATCTTTTTATCACTGGTCTCTGTGATTTGTCTTTGTTGATTTTTCAATCAGTTTGTACAACTCTGTTCTAGATTCTATTGAATTCCTAGACAAGTTAAAGAATGAGGTAAAGAATGGAGCTTGTACTGAAAAAGTAAGAAGGATGGTGAAGTGAGGGTCAAAGGTAAAAGTGTTTCTTTGGGTCTGCTTGTATATTTCAGTGAGGCAAAAGGGACAGTGTCCATTTAAAATAAAAGAAAATGATGCATCTTTAAGTACTGGAAATGAAACTTGACAATAAGACTAAGTGAGATGTATGGTTAAATTTTATACAAACGTTTTCCCTTTTCAGGAAAGTTTACTTTTTTCAGTGACATATAATCTATTAACAGGGGGCAGTTGGTAGTAGGAGAGACCCAGGGCTGCTGGTTCCTATCCCCACCACTTGGTTCAGGATAGGAAATAATTCCAAACTGGCAGGTAGCAAAACAGAATAAACTTGTCCACCTTTGTAGAACTTGGGTCAGAGTTATTTCAATGCCCTCTTATCTAGATATGGGTACAGGAGTGCCAGAAAATGGCTTTTGTAATTTTCTTTAAGGCTTTGCTTAGTTATGGAGATAAAGAAACAATCAGAATATTTTCACATTGTTCTTGTATTTGGTGGGAAGCTAGTAAATTTGTTCCTTTTTTTTAAAGAAAAAAGTTAATTAACTTTATCTGTAGTACTTCCCTTTACCCTAATAACAACTCTGCTTGGCTTAGCCGTTAGAGGTTTTAGAAACAATATCATACCCCATCAAAACCACCCTGGCCTCCCTTATTGTTCCTAGAATTCTGGTTGTTGATAACATTAAGATGTATTTCTTTTTAAAAATGTCTGAAATGTTATTTAATACACCAGTAAAAGTGCATCTATATCTTAAAAGTTTATTCCTTCCACGTCTTTCTGAGTTTTTATAGCTCTTTGTCTGGGATTGGGGGGCGGGGGGTGGGGAGGACTTCCGTATGCAGTTCCTTCGTGAGAGCCTGGGCTCTGGAGTGGTCTGTAGCTAGCGGCAAACAGCTCTCTGCTCTCAGTCTGGGGAGCTGTCATCTAGAAAAAAAGAAGGAAATAAATGCCCCACAAAGATTCACTTGTCACTGATTTTAGAAAGGGGGGCTTTGGAACCCCGTCTGAGCAATATGAAGGAGATTTTGATCGTTATAAATTGTGTGCGATTAACTCTCGGTGTGCAGAACACGGCAACAGAAACCTCGCTGTACAGTAAATTTGAATCTGCATCCTTTTTGATTTGGGGCATATATTTTTCCTCTCACCAACGTTTCTTCTGGGTTTGTTGTTTAAAAAAAAAGAAAAAAATGTCATACACAAAAGAACATGGTGAGTTTGGCCAGAGAGTAGGAAAAAGAAAAAGTTCCTTGAGGGTTTGTAACACAAATTAGCCATTGTAAATCACTGGGTCCAGGCAAATCCTTGTAGAAAGTGTTGGGAGTTCTTTCCCTCCTCCTATTAAGAAATCTCATTCCGTCAGAGGAATTTTTGTGTTCCCCAGCACATGATTCTGAAGAGAGGGACTTGGCATTACTAACTTTTTGTTTGTTTGCTCCCCTAACAAAATATTCCTTCGAAGTTGGTGAATCCCCTGGCCCAGGTGGGCGAGTGTGCTGCGGGTGGCACCTGCACAGCGCTGGGCGCAAAAGAGGCGCCCCGGCCTGGCTATGCGCCCCCCACCCCAGGGAAGCCCCAGCCCCTGAAAGGAAGGCCCAGACCTTCCCGTCGGTCTCGCAGGGAGGGGAGAGGAGCGGGGCGGGACGCTGAACAGCCCCTGACTGTTTGCCAAGAACGCGGATTCTGGATTCTCTGTCCTTCCCGCGGCTAGCAAGCAGCCCTAATTCTTAGGGGGAAGTTCTACAGCCCCGACGTCTGTAGCCATTCCGTCACTTTCCCTCTCCAAGGAGACCCTGGAGGTGGGGGGAGGGTGTGGGCGAGTGGTGGGTTCGCCCACTCGAGACTGAGGGGAGAGGTGGTGATTTGAAGGAGGACAGATACCATGGGCATGGCCGCCACCCCTGGGGAAGTCGCGGCGAGTTGGCGGGGCCTCGCTGGGGGCTCCGGGGACCAGGGCAGAGATGCACTTAAGGTGGCTGAGGGTCGAAGGTCCAGGAGCGACTGAATCTCCTAGCTTTCCGCCTGAGTGGCTCCTTCCTTTGACTACAAAGTTAGGCCCCGGACATTGCTTTCTGCTTGAGAAAGGCAGCTATGGGAGAAGGTGCCCCAGTATGAGAGGGCAAAAGAGGCAACTCCGAGAAAACGGGAGGAAAAGGATCCGTTACCTGTGGTGTAATTTGACCTTTTTCTGACTGTTAGTTTGGGGGTAGGGGGGTAGGGCTAAAGGTTGGGGAGGGCCAAGGAGCCAGAGCTGGAAAGCGAAGTTCAGAAGTGTGTTTCCTTCAGCTCACACCCATCAAACTTCTGGCCACTCCTGACCTCAGCGTCCGGCCTCCGGAGGAGAGGAACCTACTCTCCAAGCGCTGAAGCATGGAGGACAACGAACCTGGAAACCCTGGGCGACCGACCCCTCCCTGCTGGGCCTAAAATCGCTCTTATGTCAACACTGGAGGAAAGCCAGTTCCCCAGTGAAGGGAACCTGGGAGCCCCTCTGAACACCCCACCACGCCAAGTCAGAGCTGAGGACAGCAAGCAGGGAGGGACCGCGCCCCAGCACCCGAGACTTGGGGTTCCCAGCAGCCTGGGCACGAGCAGTGCGGACAGGCACCCTCCCACCCATCTCTTCCGTCCAAGGCCCCTGGGAGGAGTGCCTGGTGGGAGGAAATCAATTCTTATAACCTTCGCCGGGAGTTCCAAGGTGGTCTCTTGCCTCCGGAGGAGGTGAGGCCCAGCGGGGGACGGAGGATCTTGGGGACTGGGGTGTGCATCTGAGCTACCAAGGCGGGAAGCTGGCTGAGGAGGGTGGGCAGGCGGCCAGGGGCAGAAGCAGGGGCTCTGCCGGGGCGCAGGTCTGCGCTGGCGTTGGGCCCGGCCTCCGCCCGGCGCGCCAGGCCTCTTGCTCACTCCCGCCGCGCCTGCCCGCGGCCACTCGCTCACCCGGCCCCGCGGCCAACCAGGGCAGCGACGCACGCAAACAAGGATGCTTCTATTTACTCGCCTCTGCCTGTGGATTTCTAAGACATTCAGCAGGCACAATCATTAAACTAATTTGTATTTGATTGTTTGGGCGGACGGAGGGTAGTTTTATTGCGCTAAGCATTCAAGCAGGCACGCATCGCTGATTACCAGTATACATTAAATAAAGTTGTTTGTACACATTGTCTTACCACATATAGGCAGAGGCTTATTATTCTAATTACTCTAATTAGTGCATTGAAATGTTTTCTACTTGATTTGAGGAGACAGTGATTAGTTCTATTACTTCTTTTAACTCGTATTTTATGGAAAACTGTTGGTGCATGTTCAAATTACTTTACTTGCCCCTGGAATATAACGCTGACCCAAACGCAGTGAACTGCATGGCCCTTGCGGGGCCCCAACTTTGATGTGGGCTTGGGCTTGGAAGAGGAGCCGGTTATTTATTTCCCTCCCGCCCGCGGCTGCGTCTCCCAGCTCCGGGCCGCCACCCCCACGCCTGCCTGGGCCCCAGACGCACGCCCTGCAATGGCCAAGTCGGAGCAGACGCAGATTCGAAACTTGCTCGGATGCCGCGTCCCTGGCCCGCTGCCCCGCTAGCTCTCCGGGTGCGATTACTTTTTTTTTTAACGCCCTTAAGCATATTTTCTGTGAATCTGTTTCTTGAGCTTTAATGTTACTATTAATTGATAAGATCAGCTCATCAAACATACTATTTCGATAGGGAATTGTAATTAAAACCTTAATCCTGTTTGAGACTTTTTTTTCCTTTAAATTCCTTTTTCTTATAGAAGGGGTGCAAAGTTCACTATAAAAAGTATTATAACAGGGAGATTAATTCGTTATCTAAATAACAATCTTTGCTATTGATCCAACGTACTTTCCGCCACCTTTTGTGTTGGTCGGGGAGGCCCTTAAAAAGAATATGACAAAGCAGAAGATTTGAAATGCGCCCTGCAGACTCCGACCTCCTGGGCCGAGCGAGGGGTCCCAGGCCCTCCACCCTTAAGCACAACCCGAGGAAGCTCCGGAGGTGGGTCTTGGCCTGATGGCGTTGCCCCCGGGAAGCGCCTTGCCTGGGCGCCTGGCCTCCTCTGCGCTCTTCTCCCCTGGCAAAAGGCGACCTGCTCAGTTTCTAGGTAAATATTCCACCGGTTTTGCTTTTACTGCTAATATTTGAACTCGGATTATCCCGTCTCTAAATGCACGTTCCTAACCTTTGCCGGCGGCTGGGATATAATAAACCCTGGTGGGGCCCGGGCGTTCGGGTTCCTGGTCGCGACCCACGCTTCCCGCCTCCCGCACCCTTCCAGCCCCGCCGCCGGCCCCCGCCCGCCGTCCTTGGCCGCCCGCTCAGCAAGCCGCTCAGGGATGAAATCAGCTCCTCCTGGCAGCTGAGGGCTGAGCATCCAGGACGCTGGTATCTAGGGGAGGCCACCCTTTACCCGCCTGAGATTCCTCCAGGGCTGTAGATGGAACTGGGCGACCCGGCGGTGCCCAGGAGGAGAAAGGACCCGGCTTCCCAGAGGCAGCAGCCCCCAAACAGGGGTAGGGAGCGGGGAGATTGGGCGGGGTAGTTGGTGTGCTTGTGGGAAGCAGATCCTCTCCAAATCCACCTCCCCTGCTCCCCTGCTCGCATGCCCCCTTTAAAAGAGTTCAGGGCCCCAGTCTGAGAAGCCCAAGAATTTCAGAAGCCAAGAGGAGCATCTATGCTCCTTGGTCAGCTCAGTGGTCGGAGCTTTTCTTTTCTAAGAGCTTTCCGCCACTCAAACCCTCCTTTCCTTCTTACAAAGTCTTCTTCCTCCCTCCACGCACAGACTTGTTATGTAACAAAGTCTCCCAGTCGACTTTAACTGGAGAATAAAGAACACCCCAGCCCCACCCCTCCTTTCCTTTCCCTTCCCTGCCCCCCTTCTTCCCCCAGTACATCTGTTCCCCAGGACTTCTGTCCTGACTCCCAAGGCGGCCGCGGGCCTAAGCGGAGTAGAACTTTGGCGCCCCACAGTGGCGTCTGCTCAGAATTACTCTTGATTTTACAGCCTAATCTGTTCAAATGTTTTGTTTCAGATCCAATTCTCCTGCCCCCTCCTCTTTTCCTCTCTCTCCTTCCTGTACATTTTCCCCCCTTAACTCCTCCTAGACAAATACTTATGAAGGTGACTCTATGCACATGACTCACAAAAAGGTTTTTAAACATCCAGGTCCAGGTGGTTTCTGAATAGAGATTTGAAAAGCTATGACTGGAAAGACCATACATTCTATACCAGAAAAGTTCCCAAACAAAGGTAAGAGAAAAGAACAGCTCACCCGGTCTTTGGTTCCTACATGCTTGGACTGTGATAGATAAGTCTTCAGTCTCTCAGAGAAGCCCCAGCTTTTCAGGGGGCATGAAGACCGGAATAGCAGGTTAGAAACACAGCTTCACATCAGGGGAAAGGGAGCCCAGTGAATGCTATTTTTAATTCGGCCCAGGTTCCACCTGGGACTTCTTCCTGTCGAGTAGGTTTGTTCAGTTTCAGGGTTCAAAACTGAGTTTCTATCTGCCATTCGAACAGAGACCTATCCATGGAAAAACTTTCCAAAAAAAAAAAAAAAAACCACCCCTCCCCCAACATCTGCCCAAAGTATCAATTCAGCACGTGGAGCTGAACTTTGCTTCTTTCAGTGCCTGCTTAA